CTGTCTGTCTGTCTGTGAGTGGTCTTGCAGGTCATCGATCACTGCAGCCACGCATGGCCAAGGTCCCTCCTAGCAGAGCGATTCCTGACTAGCAGAGAAGGCACGATTCGACACCTGAACGACCTTCACACGTGTTGACTTCACCCCCTTTCGGGCGATACCAAAAGCCACACACACACACACACACACATTCATCCATCCATCCATCGTATGTATGTCTGTCTGGCTTTTTCCCTGCCTGCATGCAGGTGGAGGACTGGGTGAGTGTATCGAGGCGACCTCGGTCGTAACAGAAAGAGAGAGGAGGCGGCGAGCGAAGCGAGCCAAGAAGGCCTTTAGGCCGGCTTCGACTGCATAAGGGGACATTGCTCCGGAAATGACAGGAAATCCACGGAAATGGTCAGGGAAGGAAAGCACGGGAAACACAGCAACCAATCAAACACTCCCTGTGTGTCGATCTCTCCCACGCAGACCACCTGTTGATGTCCACCGTGCGCATGAGGGAACAGGCAGCAGGTATCACGCACGCACACATGCATCCATCCCTGCCTGCCTGCCTGTCTGTCTGTCTGCCTGTCTGTCTGTCTGTCTGTGAGTGGTCTTGCAGGTCACCGGAGTGGGGAGGGGGAAATGAGGGACTCGTGCGGCGAGAAGGTTGCAGGCTGCACGTTGCGGCTGGTGTGGGGGTACTGCCTGAGGTGCGCGGCGTAGGGAGCGCAGTGCTTCCTGCTGGGGCCCTTATTGCTGCCTCGCGGGACCTCCTCAGCGGCTGTGTGCGGCGCGGCGAGGTCGCAGCTGTTCCAGTACGTGCGGAGGTTCTTGAAGAAGTCGGTGATGTGGAACAGGGAGGCCTGGCGGAGGGGGGCATCTGGATTGACAGCCTTGACCTGAACCAACCAACAGAAAGATGTGGCCCACCAATCCTTGTTCCTTCATGACGTGGCGGCTCACCTGGGCATATATAACTTGAAACTCGTCGAAGACCATCTTGCCCTTCTCCCCCCGCCACCCACCATGCTTTCGGGCCAGCTGCAAGAGGATCTGCCGCATGACCTCTGGGTAGTGGCTGGGGCCGGTGGCGTTCATGTTCTCCAGGCTTTTGCGGCCATCGCTGCTGGCGGCGGCCGACTGCTTATTGGCCTTATTCTTGGCAGCGCCGTTCTTGGCTTGGATGGCCTTCTCTCGCAGCTGCTGGATGGAGCGGTTGCAGTAGGACAAGTAGGACTCTGAAGAGTCGACGACCTTCTGAAGATGGTCGTCGTCCCACATGCCGTCCGCTGCGAGCGCCTTGTGATTCTCCATCAGCTTGCCGAGCGACTGGGGCGACTGAGTGGGGGCCTTGGTGAGGGAGGAGGGCTGCTGGAGAAGGAGTGGCGCCGTGACCACGTGGTTGAGGCGGGTGCTGATGGCTCGGTCGCCACTGCAATCGAAGGCCTCCAGGGCAGCCGTGGGCGCCTCCTCCTGAGCCGAGACATCGAACTCGAAGACGCCATCAGCCTGCAGATTGATCTCATCCACTCCCTGGCCACTATCTGCATACAACACATTCGTACCGAAGGCCTGTATGCGCTGTCCGAGGTCTCTTTGCTGCATGTCAGTGCTTCGCGCGTACCTGCAGTCTGCTGCGCTTGTTGACGCCTTCGAAAGTCGGCCTCTCGAAAGCCGAAAACCACGTTCTGCCCCTCGTTCACGTCAACTGGGCTGAACTTGGCCACAAACTTGTGCATCTCTGCACAGCACAGAGACACGACAGGACAGAGCGCACGGCACGATGGCACTGCATCCGTGAGGGCATCCCCCAGGGTGCATTGGCCCGCCTCTGGGTGTATTGGCATACCCTCTAGATTTGGGCGATCGCCGTTGCCGGCGAGCCGCATGGACGAGGCACGGTCGACGAAGTCCAAACACATGGATGGGTCGGCCAGAGGCAAGTGGCCGAATCCTAGCTTCTTGGACTTGCTCATGTTGTGCTCGAAGAAGGCCTGCGTGAGCTTGACTTGCATCAGGGGGGCACCTGAACAGAAGGGCAGGCACTAATGCGGTGGAAACAAGTCACGCTTGTCGTGGCGTACGTACCCATCACAGAGCCATGGATGGCGGCGCTAACAAAGGAGTTGACGGACTCGTTCTTGTTCGTACCACGTGCTGTGGAATAGATGGGAAGCTCGATCTTCGCTGTCCCATAGTGCACGGATCTGCACACACAGAGCGGAGTCCATCCATCCATCCATGGCTGTGTGTGTCTGTGTGTTGTGGGGGAAGGAGGGCGGGAGGCAGCGGGGGAGGGATAGACAGAGAGGGAGGGAGGAAGGGATGGAGAGGGAAAGAGAGGGAGGGAGGGAGGGAGGGAAGGAAGGAGGGAGGGTGGAGGGAGGTCTGGGCAGGAGGGAGGGATTCATCCATGCATCGATGTGTGTGTGTGTGTAGGTGTGTGGTTGGCTGACCCGGTCTGGTAGAAGAGGCCGCCATCTGGGGGATCCTCCAGGCAGCCATTCATGACGTGGCGCATGATGAGATAGAACACATGCGGCGCCTTGTCATTGAACAGTGAGTAGGCTGACAGGCAAGGAACAAGACAGCGAAACACACACACAAATGCAAGTCTCAGTGTCGCGAGAGAGTGAAGTGGCTTACGTTGGTATTTCTCATAGAGCGTCAACAGGTTCCACGCGTAGGTGAACCGGTCGAAGGTGCCCCTCCGGACGTGCTTGTTCAGCAGATGCCGTGCCTGAGTCTTGAGCCAAGTCCAGGCCGCAGAGACGGTGGTGATGTCGGGGTAGTTGGCATCCTGGATGACGGCCTTGATCAGCAGGTCGATGTCCTCACTGTTGAGCTGCCAAGTGATCTGCACAGCCAAAGACATGCATGGAGAGGTGCTGGACTGGTATTCATGTGTGCAACTTTCTGTGTGCTTGTGTGGGGGCGAGGGGCGGACACACATCTCCCCAATCACGCCAGAAGGCCCCCTCCAGCTGGTGGCCATGATGCAGAGCCTTGGCCAGCCGCTGCGCCTTGTGGAAGATGTCCAACAACTCAAGGATTTGCGGCCACATCTCCTGCCAGACGGATATCCCCGTCTGGCGGCAGCAGTCGGTGTCCTTGTACACCTGCAGCAAGACGCACACATCAAACACACGTCGAGCACATCAAGCGGCGGGCCGTTTCTTTCTCTGCACGTACCGCTATGGGCGGCTTGACACCTTCCTTGACGAAGTAGTCACGAAGGGAACCCAGGAGGTGCCGAATCTCCCCCTGCCCCTCTCCTACGGTCACTGTCCATGCGATGACGAATCCTATTTCGTTGCAGACGGTGAAGAGTCGGCACTTCTGGGTTGCGTTCCTCATCTGACGCACACAGACACCACACAGAGGACACAGAGGTGAGGGAATGCATGCGGGCCATCACGTGTTGCTGACCTGCTTGATGTGCTTCCAGTCCTGTGAAAGGATGCGGCCTTTCAGCCGCAACATGAGTGCGTTCATCATGCTCTCTCTCTGCAGGCCCACCGCCACATAGTGGCTGATGATGGTGGAGTCGACTGGAGTGGACACGTCGGTCGGCATCGGCATGAAGTCCTCGACCTTGGGCACGTCCTGACGGCCATCAGCAAGATGAACAGAGGGAGAAAGGCGATGGGATGTCATGTCTCTGTGTACTTGTGCCGGGAGGGACAATGCCAAGTGGGCGCGGTACTGGTGAATGTGGGAGTTGTACTGGTCGATAAGGGACATGCGCGCTCTGATTTGGGACTGCCGGATGTACTCGGTGACGCGTGCGAAGCTGGCGCTGTTGTTGCCCCCTTGCCTCATGATGTAGTCCGACAACTCGCGAGAGAAGAGCATGGAGCGGTGGAGATCACACGGCAGCTGCCTGAGGAACGATGAAGGGTACGTGCTGCAAGAAAACACACACGGGGATGACACGGGCAGGGGGAGGTGATCTGTGCGCGCGTGTGGCTCCCCTGTGGTTGTCACCTGATTAGGCGAGGATGGGTGCTCTCGCGCGACATCTTGCAAGTGCTGCAGTAGAGCAAGACGCCGACGATCTTGAACGTGCCGTCGAAGTGGATGACGACACGCGGCACTTGCTTGCTCATGTCCTTGAACGCCAGCACAGCGATGTTGCACCAGGGGCACTTGGTGCCATCGGGCGGGAAGACGATGAACAGGTCGTCGCAGAGGTACTCGAAGGGGTCGGGGCATTGGGTGCACGTGATGGGCACGGCTGGTACCCACCCCGCCCTCTGGTCCATGTCGAACGGGCCCCCGTCCTCCTCCTTCGGTGGCAGCCCTGGCTGCGGATGCAGCTGGATGCCGCCCCTCCTCTGCGATGTGCCCTTCAGATGACGTATCTGCAGCTGCGGGAGCTTGGCGAACAGCAGATAGTCGGCCAGCTGGTCGCTCTTCAGCAGGAACTCGACCAACTTGCCGCTGCTGGATAGCTGCGTCAAGGACGGTGGCGCTGGTCCACCGTCCTGCCTCGCCGGCCCCTTGAGCTTCCTCTGCACCCAGTCCGTCACCGGGACGCCCTTGGCCCCGTCCGAGATGGCCAGGGCCTTGGCGGTCCACTTGCCGATGAGTGGGCTGCTGTCGGTGTCAGGCAAGAGGCGTTTGGGAAGCGCAGGGTGCGGCTTGGGCTGCTGCGTGGGTGGGCGAGCTGGCGCAGGGGGGGCATTGGTGCCGAGGGTGTGCAGGCCGATGGACAGGACCTCGTCTATCTGGTGTGGGTCCAGATTGCGCTGCTGCATCAGCTGCTGCATCTTCTGCGCCAGCTGCAGGGTGAGCACATCGATGTTACCGTTGCCAGAGGCAGCTGAGGCAGCTGCGGGTGGCTGGGGAGGGGGGCGTGCCGCTGCCTGCGGCGTGGCAGGGGGCCTTGCTGGGCTCGCTGACGATGGGAGGGGTGGTGGGTGTGAAGGGTTTGGTGGTACTGCCGGGGCGCGTGGACGACAGGGCTGCCCAATGGCGACTCGACCAGCGACGGGCGGGGGACTCTGATGCGACAACGGTCCTGAACGCCCCACCCACCTACCCACCCACCCACCCACACACACACATACACAGACATGGAGGGAATGAGAGGGTTAGGGATGGGATGGGTGGCCGCGGACTTACTTGGGGTTGGGCGGTGCGGCGCCAGAGGCCGAGGGGGGGCGATGGCCAGAGGGCGAGGGGGGGCGATGGCTGAAGGGGACCATCCTGACTCCCTTGAGTGGAGAGCTGCAGAGGCAAGACAGAAATGCAGAGCTTGCCCTACTCGCCCCTGTCCGTGTGTCTGTGTCGCGCGCACCTTTCCACGTCGCCCCTCCTTGCACGAGCAAGCCCTCCCTCCTGACGAGGCTCAGGGCCTCGAGGTGGCTGGTGCACTCACACAGGTTGGCCATCCCATTGCGGTCGTCCCACTCTTTCTGCCACCACCCTGGGCGCTGCGCCTGCTCGAGAAGGGGGTGGCCGTGACATGGACACCTCAGCATGGCGTCGTACAGCTCTCGTGCCTGCTCGGGGAGCTTGTACTTCTGGGCCGCCTGTGGATCGCCCTTGGTGCGAGGAGGCACCTCTCGCTCGACCAGCCGCCCACCCACCAAGGCCGTCAGCGCGATGATGGTCTTGTACTGGTGGAGAGAGGGGCGGGACACGACGGTGGCGCCGGTCCTGTGCGGGCACGACGACAGGTCGACTGGGGCGAAGCCGAAGGTGACGGTGGAGCCGAACTCGACGCGCCCGGCCTTGAGCTTGGCCTTGAAGGCCTCGATGGCCGCCGCCTGCCCATAGCCGCAGCCGCACACACCCTCCTGCCCCCTGCGGAAGAAGTGTCCTGATGTGCGGAACTGCCAATCCGGACACCGCTGGATGCACCCGACCTCCCACGTGACTCGATCATTGGCTGCGATGCCTTTGAGAGAAGCGATGTCCGAGCTGCTGTTGGAGTCGTGCATCTTCTTAAGCCGCCCCTCCCACTCAGACCATGGCATCGCCTGCTTCTTCCGGTCGGCCATGATGATGGCGGCTGCGGGCCGGGTTTCAGTGCCACTGGCGGCTGGCGGGGCAGGGGGCCTCGCTTGAGTGCTGGGGGGTGAGAGGGAGGTACCGGATCTGGTGAGCGGCGGGCGGCTGACGGCGCTGGAGAGGCGGGATGCGCCAGAGATGGGCGCTAGCAGCGATAAGCTCGGCTATCGAGTGAGCGCTACAGGCACGGCACGGGCGTGCTGAGGCAGCCGGGAGGGCTGCAACGCGGTGGCTTGGGAGCCGTGGCCCATCAGTGGTATCCACCACACCACACAACCGATCGATAGCAGGGTAAGGGTTCAGACAGTAGGGTAAGGGTTCAGGGTTCCATGCGGGGTGGCCCCGTCGCTCGGGTCCACGTGCCGACCCCGGATTCCGTACCCCCGAGTTCATTAACGGGCAGAGGCTCTAACCCAGGTTGCCCTGGGCCCGATTGCGGCGTTTCACGCGGCCCTAGCGCCATATTAGCTCGCCACGAGGCGGAAATCGATCCGCCACGAAGCTCGCACCCACTTGGGGAGGTTTCACGGGGGTGCACAGTCGGTGCACGGGGGGGTGCACACCTGTCCCCTTTCTTGGGCTCGCCCCCAGGAGAAGGTAAAGGGGCGGAAGAGAGGCAGATGAAGCTCAAAAGCGCTTCACGAGCTGTTTGTGTCTGTCCTGTGGCTGCAGATCTCTCAGCACCATCCCTCGCCTGAGACCTCAGGACACTCCCGATGCAACCCACTGGTGCGGCGCTCTCGTCCCGTCCCCCCAGCCCTGCCCTCTTCCAGCCCGCCGACCTCTTTGACCTGTCATTGCCCATCAGCAAGATGGCCGCCATGGCCATGGCGACTGACGATGCCAAACGAGCCGCTCTCCGCTCGCAGATCGCCACCCGCACTCGGCAACAGGAGCTGCTGGGCCACACTGCGGAGACCGTCAACAGCACCCTGCTCAACGCCGTCCAGCAGCACATCCACAAAGCCCTCCGTCAACTTGGGCTGGCGGACGTGTTGGCCTTTGACATTGGCGGTGATTCGGAGGCCGGCTTGAAGGTGATCTATCTGCTGGAGCGGGGCAGTGGCGAGGAGTGGCGGGCGATGGGGCGGTTTCTTCGGATGGCCTTCATCTACCGGCTGACCCCTGCTGATGCGACGCGTCCTCTTCGTCTGTCGGCCGACTGACTGCCCACAGCCACGGCCTTCCACCAGCTGCCACTCGCCATGGCCATCTACAAGATCATCGGACAGCAGCTCATACACCACACACACAGCCTGGCGCTGCAGCAGATCGGCAGCGCACACTATCGGATCGGCGATCAGTGGTTTCGTGTGGTGCCGTTGGGTGAGCTGCCGGGCAGCCACCGCTATGCTGAGGGCTACAAGCGGACCGACCCCGTCATCCGCCGGCACGCCTTCCTCTTCCCCTCATTCTCAGCATTCCCTTTGCGCACACTGCTCTCCCAATGGTCGGATGAAGAGGGGCTGGGCGACAATACGGTGCTGACTGCACCCATCGGCCATGATGACCCTCGCTATGGCCGTCTGCTGACCGACGACATCGGTGAGGATTTGAGCATCGCTATCGGCTATCGCACTGACCAGGGCGATCTGAATGCTGCGATTTTGACGGACTATCGCTATGTGATAGTCAGCGGATTCCGACTCAACGAGACCGTCGCTGCCCACGTGTGGGTTGGGTACGGCAATATCGTGCTGCGGACGACCGAAGCACCTGCTGCCGATCGGTCCCAGCCGGTCGCTCAGCGCTTTCCGAAGTCCATCCCCCTGTGGCGCCGTGTGCTGCGGCACTTCGAGCTCGAGACCGACGTCATCGACAGGGGGAGGGTAATAGGGTGAGGGGTGCTGGTTGGCGATTTGTGTTGTGTTTCCGTATGCTGGCGGGGCAGTGTGTGAGGAGTAGAGGGGGGTGGAGTATTGATAAGTGGACTTGTGAGCTGTCGAGAGACATGGGTTCCATTCCCGTCACACTGGCCAGTACAGTACAGTAAGTAATTCCTCTTGAAGTTCGGCATATGCGATCGAGTGTGCGTGGAGACATGACGGAAAGACAGTAGACAAACATTCACTGACGCCAGTCACAAAACTGCATAAGACGCTCAGCCTGTCCGTCTGCCTGTGCCATGCCCCCCTCCCTCAAGGCCTACATCACAATGCATCCGATCGACCCACTTCCCTCCCCCCACACCGCGCCCCCCAGATGCTCCCCCAGCATACCCTTCACGGCAGTGCGCGCGCGGTCGAAGGGAAGAGACCAGGTCTTGTGGACATCGACATGGCACTTATCTCCCCAATCCTCCAGCCGAATGAGTACCATGTCGCCCTCGCCCATCAGCTCACCGCCCAAGACCACCAGCCGCTCATGGTGTACCTCCACACGCCTGTCGAACACGGCCGCCCCCCCCCCCCCCCCCT